AGCGGCCGGTATACAATGCTAGCCTAAAAAAGACCATCACACAATTTTTGCTGGTGCTTGTCAGTGGCCGACACACATGCCAGCATACAAAAAAGGTCGGGAGTTCGACCACGCCATTTCGGTCGTGGTCATGCCAGCACACTTGCCGGCATAAAAAACGGATGGCACATGCCGCCATAGATCACTCGTCGTCGAACTTGAGCATGTCGTCCTGCATCTTCTTGAACCATGGCCTCTTCCTCAGCGAGATGGTGTTTGAGGTCCACCTTTATGATCTCCACCCCCGTCATCATACTAGCGAGAGCAACTTCTTTTGCCTTGGTCTTGGCATTGGCGGCCTCGATCTCTAGCATCTTGGCTTGCTTCTCCGCCTCCATCTCAAGCATCCTCGTTGGCTTCTCCGCCTCCATCTCAAGCCTCGTCCTTTGAATTTCCATGAAGACGTTCATTTGCTCTTCCTTGTCTTGCTGATGCTTCTCCTCTCTTGAGTCCTTCTTGGTCATCATGCCCTCCACGGTTGTGATCAAGGCGATGGACGCTGCATCCCGGTTGTCCTCCTTGGAGTTGGTTTTCCCCCGCGGCCATGGCTTCTCGCCCTCCCTAACCTCCTCCACGGCTTTCTTCCCCCCACGCGCCATGAGGACGGCATATTGCGCCTTGAACTTATCCTCCCGATTGATGACCCTCCAACAATGGGAGAGGTTAAAGAACTTGCCGTCATGTTGGACCTTGAAAGCCTCCAAAGCTTGGAACGCCTACAAATGGATAGCATGCAAGCATGTGGGCAAATGGTATGCAAATGGACGAGCAAGGGAATGAAAACGAAGAGGGGCGCATGCATACCATGTCTTGCATTCTGATGCCGCTCACGGGGTGTGCCTTCATGCTCTCAAGAGTGACACAAAACTTGTTGCACTCTTGTTGGATCAACCACCATCGCTTCGAAATGGACACCCACCCGCGTGTGCTTTGCATTTGGTACGGCGCAAACTTCTTACGCTCATTGTACTCACGATGGACACGAATCCAAAAGGTTGATGCCTTTTGTTCAGCGCCAATCTTGGGGTCTTGCCCAATGTCCCTCCAACACTCACAAAGGAGCTTGTCCTCGGCCGTCGTGTATGCCTTCGTCCTCTTGCTCTTGTGCTTCGGCTTCGCTCAGGCGGCTTGGTTGGCGAGCTCGTCCTTGAATAAAGGCTCCCCGTCGATGTCCAAGTCATCCTCTTCCTAGAGCCCGTAGTCCTCCGGAAACTCGTGGTCAAGTGGGAAGCCATCCAAGTCCAGGCTGACATGATCTTGCATGAAGGCGTCGTGCATGCCAGCTTGATCATAGGTCGTCGGCGTGAACGGCCCTCGGCCGTCCTGGCTTTGGATCTCGTCTGGATCGTAGCCAGCCGCGGTGGCACCGCCAGCGGCCGCCGCACCATCCTCGGAGATGATTCTCTCCATGTAACGGTTGGCCCTCTCGCCGTCGGCGGCCACCGGCATTCTGTCGAACAGGTTGCGGGCGCCAGGGAGCACGTCGGCTGGCATCTCCCGCGCGCATTTCCTGGTCCCTCTAGATGACGAGGTACCGGCCCCCGGCGTGGCGTTGAGGTTAATGGGCGCGCGTGAAAGGAGCCACCACGCTTACCTCCGGCGAGCATTCCCTGGAGAGTCGGAAGGCTTGCAGGTAGACATGGAAGCCGGGGATCGGGTGCGTACCGGACGCGCGCGGCAACTCCGGCAGCGCCATCCGAGAAAACGCGGACGAGCCGGTGCTGTTGTGGCCACGGTGCTGTTAACGAGCCCGTGCTGGCCAGGGTTTAACCCTAGGTACATCAGGTCCTCCCCCGTTGCCACCATGACGCGGGCGTTGGTGTCCCCCTATGGCACGACAGTAGCAAGGGCGGCGGCGGCCGCTACTTCATCCCTTGCGTCCACCGCGTGCCTCCGGCCCTTCCTCTTGGCCGACCGCACGGCTCGCTCCTCTGGCGTCAGCTTCTTCTTGGGTGGCGCGGTGGTCTTGCGAGGGGCGCGGGGCTTGCCTTTGCCGGAGGCGAGGTCGTACGGGACGAGAAGGCTAGGTCGACGGCGGCATCGAGGGCGTCGTCCATGGCGAGCGGCCGGGAGCGTGCAGGCGGGAGGGTTTTTGTGAAATTGAAAGGAATGGTGAATGGTTTGCCACCGACTGGCAGGCCAGGAGGAGTAGTTGACATGCGGTGCATGTCTGTCTCTTGTCCGCGCCGACGCAAATCAGAATAAAAAATGGACCGCGAATGGGTCGGCAGGCAGACGCGCGTCCATTTGGGTCGACGCATTGGGCCGATTTTTCTGTCCGCCGCGACCATCCCTCTAAACCGGCGCATCAACCATCGGGAAGTGATGGAAGTGTTTCTGTAAATTAATCGAACAATTTTCTTCTATTTTTTTAATGAATCGACCCCGAAGAAGCCAAATTAAATAATTGGTTTGATGGGAAAGGAAACGGAATGCCTGGTGGCTTGCCTGATTGCATTTCTCTGTTTCTGTGGGGTCCTTTATAACGTTTAATTTGATGTTCCTTCCTAATAGATCTGGGGGTTTGTTCCTGAAAGTAAAAAATGTACTACCTCCGTCTAGATGAATAAGTCATTCGTGTAGTTTTAGGTCATAGATTTGAGGAATTAAATATATGTTATATGTCATAAAAAGTATATCACTAGATTCTTACACGGATTTAGTTTTTAAATATATATTTTTTGTCACATATAATACACGTTTAAATAGTTAAATCATTGACCTAGAACTACGCGAATGACTTATTCACCGAGACGGAGGTAGTAGTATATGACCGGTAGAAAAAGGAGATCGAAAACTTGTCTCCTTGCTGCTTTTAGTAAGGGCATATTCAATGTTGATCCTCAAATTTTCTCCAATATCTGTTCGCGAACAGGAACCAATCTGCGGATATGGATGCGGAAGCCAGGCATCCAGCACTATCTGCAAATATTTCAAACAAGTTTTAAATAAACAAAAAGAAATTTAAACAAACTTGATCAATTTCATTCAAGTTGGAACATAATTTACATAAAAGGTTGATATTTCGGCCATTTAACTAAAACATAGGAAAAACCAACCACCTCATAGGTGTGGCCGCCCTGCCCTATTGCATCGCTGTCGCCGTTCATGCCGTACTCGTTGTTCCTCCACTGGCGGAAGGGTGCTGGAGGGCCACGGCAGCCTTGTCCAGCAGTTGCCTGCCGCTCGCGGAGGAGTTGCTCCGCCTCTTCCTGCGCAGTGGAGAGGGCCGCCGCGGCCAATGCAGACGAAGCCTGTGGAGCTCTAAGAGTGGCCTTACCCTGACTAGCGTTGGCCGAGGAGTCGCTAAGGACCACTCCTCGCCGATTTTTGTAAGCTCGCAGTTAAGGCGGCGGCAGCGACAGGTCGTCGTCTTCGCGGTGGTGACAGAGCGGTCAAGTGCCCACGCGGTAGCGAGGTCCGGGTCGTTGCGGACCAATTCCGGCACCGCGTCGGACTTGGCGAACGCCTGCGGCTGGCGGCGTTGTGCCGACCGTACCGGGAGTGCTGCCTCACCGCCCGCTCCTCCTCGGAAACAATTTCCCTTGAGCCCTGAGGGACCGCCAACACCGCCGCCTCCTAGACAGTGGAGGATGCGGCCTCGTGCCTTTGTAATCGCGGGCAGCAGCTCTTCCATGATGGGGCGGCGGTTGCAGCGGGGCGGCGACACGGGCCCATCAATGCAGACGTACCAGCTATGCGCCGGTGGTGACACGGCTCATCCTTGACCTGGCGTCTGATCTGGATGGCAGGGTTGCGTGGGGCCGATGCGGGCTCATCCTTGACGCGGCGTCCGATATGGACGATGCGGTTGTGTGGGGGCCGTCTCCTCCTTGACTCGGCGGAGTGGGACACCGGCTCCCGCTTCACGTGGTAGCGCGGCGGTGACGGTGGCTCCTCCTTGAATCGTACCGGCGATGGTGGTGTCGCGCCCATCTGACGGAGCGAACTCCGTCATGATCTCCATCCGACGAACGAATTCTCCTCCGCGTTGGGCCCATCTGCTGCGGCGTCTGGTCCTCCTCGTCATCTAGGAGATGACGATCTCCTCCTTGCCAGAGGCATTGACCGTCCGGGAAGCCGAGGGTCCTGGAGAGCGACGGCGGCGCCGCCAATATCCACCTGATGATGAACTGCCACCGCCACCGCCTCCGCCTGCTGGTGCGAAGAACCACGAGTTCGGCATCGCTGCTGGAGTTGGAGGGGTTCGGAGAGGACGAAGTGCGGATGTACATCGCCGGCACACAACTTAAATAGCTGCGGCCAAGTCGTGCAAACGGTTAGTCAACCGCTTCAATGCGGCGCAACGGCCGGAGTTGGTTCCTCAGGAAGCTGCATCCGCATTAAAGCGACGGCTCCCGAGAGGTCATATCAGTCAACGCCGCATTCCCGTCCGAACACATCACTTGGCATCCAATGCCGGATGCTGCATGCTCTGAGCCGACATGAATGCGGCGCGGGAAGCAGCGCGTGCATCGAACGGAAAAC